TGTGGGTGGGGGCTGGTGGGGCGGCTCGGGCTGGGAGGGGGCGCAAAGCCCCCGCCCTGTGCTGACCCATGACCCTTGCAGAGCGCGGCGACTTCCTGGCGCTGGACCTGGGCGGCACCAACTTCCGGGTGCTGCTGGTGCAGCTGCGCAGCAGGGAGGCCGGCGGCATCTGCATGGTCAGCGAGATCTACTCCATCCCGCCCAAGGTGGCCCAGGGCCCCGGCTCCCAGGTACTGGCACGTGCCCGCCTGCTGGCCCTGGGACCCCTTGCCAGGGCAGCGCCAGCCCCAGCCCCAGCCCCAGCTCAGTGCCTGCATGTGCCAAGAAGGGCAGGGAGTGAGGGACACTGTGTAGCTTGGAGGGGCCCTGCACAGACTGGGGGGGCTGCATGGGGGCTGGAGCATGTCTGCCCCTCAGCTCCTACCCTGCTTCCCACAGCTCTTTGACCACATCGTGGAGTGCATCATGGACTTCCAGACCAAGCAGGGTCTGCAGGGCCGGACCCTGCCCCTCGGCTTCACCTTCTCCTTCCCCTGCCAGCAAAAGAGCCTGGACCAGGTGTGGGGCTGCCCAGACGCTCTCCTGGGTGGGGGTGTGGGGGGCCGTGCCTGGTGTGACCCCCCTGCCCTGGTGCCACTGTGGTGCCCACCTGGGCCTGCCGTTAGCCAGAGCCGCAGCAGAGCCACCGTGCTGTTAACTCTGCAACCTAATGACCCCCCCCCGCCCCCAGGGCATCCTGCTGAACTGGACAAAAGGCTTCACGGCCTCGGGCTGCGAGGGCAAGGACGTGGTGGAGCTGCTGCGAGAGGCCGTGCGGCGCAAAAACGTACGGGGCCGGGCGCTGTCCCGGGGGGCTGGGCGAGGGTTGGCGCTGTGCCCACATCCGCTGGGAAGAGGTGGGTGCTGGGCTGGGCCCCCGCCAGGTTCCCTGGAGGACGAAGCGATTTCCCGGGAGATGTCGGTGGGCCTGGCGACGGTTGCTGTGGTGATGGGGAATTGCGTTGCCTAGTAACCCGGCGCTTTCTTCCCAGCAATTTGATCTGGATGTGGTTGCCATAGTGAATGACACCGTGGGAACCATGATGTCGTGTGGCTACGATGACCCCAACTGCGAGGTCGGCCTCATCGTGGGTAAGGAGCAGGGCTGGGGAGGGGGCTGCAGCATGGTCCGGCCCACGGTCTGGCTTGTCCGGTCCAGCCCAACCCCTCGCGCAGGAGCTGCCGTGGCCTGGGCTGGAGTCGTCCCCGCTGCACCACGGGGGTCAAATCCCCTCCTGCCCCAGCCTGAGTGCAGGGACAAGACCCTCCAGCCTGGGCCCTGCGGGGGTGCCAGCAGGGGCATTGGCAGAGCCCAGAGCCCACCCCAGCCTGGGCTGCAGCAGCACCTGGTGCTATTGAAGGAGGCAAAGAAACCCACCCCCGAGACACAGCACCGGGAAGGGAAAAATTCCTGCCCGGCCTCCAGCGAAGTCAGCAGGGCCCTCTGCTCCGCTCCGCCACCAGCTGCACGCAGCCCCCTCTGCCCCCCCAGCACACTGCCTGTCTGGAGCCCCCGCCCGCACGGATCCCGACCCCGCCATAGCCAAGCCGTTGCAGCCCCATCCAGCTGCTGGGCTCGGTCCCCTCCACCCCCCAGCCGGGATCGCCCAGCCGTGGGAGACCTGGGTTCCCTCCCGCTCCCCCGCTTGCACTCTCGACCTGGCTGGCCCACACCAGGGGCCGGTGGCTGGGCAGGCGCCTGACCCCGTGGTGCCCCCCAGGCACAGGGACCAACGCCTGCTACATGGAGGAGCTGCGCAACGTGGAGGCGGTGCCGGGGGCCGAGGGCCGCATGTGCATCAACATGGAGTGGGGGGCGTTCGGCGACAACGGCTGCCTGGACGAGTTCTTCACGCGCTTTGATGGCCAAGTGGACCGGGCGTCTCTCAACCCTGGGCAGCAACGGTGAGTGAGGCAGGGCTGGCGGCTGGGGGAGCGGGGCTGGGAGCCAGGGCGAGGGGCTCTGGCCAGCCCCTGTGACTGCCCTGATGCCGGGTACCACCCCCGCCGGCAGGTTTGAGAAGCTGATCAGTGGCATGTACTTGGGCGAGATCGTGCGGATGGTGCTGGTGGAGCTCGTGGAGAAGGAGCTGCTCTTCCAGGGCCGGCCGTGCCCAGCGCTGCAGACCCCGGGCATCTTCCCCACCAAGTTCCTGTCCACCATTGAGAGGTCGGTGCGTGCTGGGGTGGGCTCTGGCCTCCTGCTGCCAGCCCAGGGCCGTGGTGGCCACGGCCTGGGGGTGGGACGCTGCAACCGTGCTAACCAGGCCCCGGGTCCTCCCCAGTGACGGGCTGGCCCTGCGGCAGGCGAGCGCCGTGCTGCAGAACTTGGGGCTGGCGGCGAGCGTGGAGGACGCGCTGCTGGTGCGGAAGGTGTGCCAGGTCGTGTCCCTGCGTGCCGGCCAGCTCTGTGGAGCCGCCCTGGCCGCCGTGGCGGAGAAGATCCGGGACAACCGTGGCCTGGCCCAGCTGGCCGTGACCGTGGGAGTGGACGGGACCCTCTACAAGCTGCACCCCCAGTGAGTGGGGCTGGAGGCAGAGCGGGTTGGGGAGGGGGCTGCACCCCTCGGCAGGGGCTCACCCCTGTCTCCCCCGCAGCTTCTCGCAGCACGTGCAGCAGACGGTGAAGGAGCTGGCACCGCACTGCACCGTCACCTTCCTGCAGTCGGAAGACGGGTCCGGGAAGGGCGCCGCGCTCGTCGCTGCTGTCGCCTGTCGCATTGCCCAGAGCCGCACAGCACCAGCAACTGGCCAGTAGCCCCCGGGCACCCGGTGTGGGCCCGGCCGCCAGGACTGGGCAGCGAGACAGTGGGCGCGTGGAAGGCTCTGGGACGCCCCCCCATGGGCCACCAATAAATTCAAAGCCTCCTGCTGAGAGAGGCTCCAGGACCCGGTCCCTGCCAGCGCCGGGCGCTTCTGTGGGGCAGTGCAGCTCCATCTCCCCCCCAAGGGACCCAGGCAAGGCTGGCACGCCGAGATAGCAATATATATCCAATTTATTTACAGTCCTGTCCGGCAGCGCCCCAGCCCGCCCCTGCCCCTCCCTGCAGCGCTATGTACATAAGGCCAAGTGTAAATACTTGAATGCACTTGAATACAGAATTAAAAAACGGTCTTTACACGACACGGCTGGGGCCCGCGGCGCCCAGGCCACACGGACACAGCACGCACGGCACCGCACGCACGACGCACCACGCTGCGGCACACACCGGCCCCGGCCGGGCTGAGCCACCCGGGTCCCTGCTCACCCCACCCCGCGCCCCACAGGCCCCAGGCCTATAGCCACTTTCTCAGGGCTTGAAACCTCCTCGTTCCCCATAGTTCCTACCCTGACCTCCAGAACATTCCTGGGAGTAGCAGATCTTCAGCTG